ACGATGGGCTTTTACGCCTTTGGCTCCATTCTCCTCTTTGGCCTTATCCTACAAAGCAACCTCCGCCTGTGGGGCTTTAATGCATGCATGCATGCTCCCAGTTGTGTAGTAGTCGCTGTTCGTTGCTGCATGCAACAGAGGGAAGGCATGTACACCCCAAGGGAAAGGGGTGTTTGTATGCATGTATGGGGAGCTTAGGGTTTAGGGTTTAGGGTTTAGGGTTTAGGGTTTAGGGTTTAGGGTTTAGGGTTTAGGGTTTGGCGTGTACAGGCTATTAGAGACGCACTTGTGGACACCGACGTTTATACTGACGACTGTCTTTTTGTGCACTCTTATTTACATTCCAGGTAATACACAAACAAATGCATGCAGAAAAAGCCCCGAATATTTCAGTGTGCTTGCGTGCATGCAAACTGGTTGCATGCAGCATACATGCGTGCATATATATATATATATATATATATATATAGTATCATCAACATAGGTATAAGCATAAATATAGAAACAAATTTAAGTGTGACACAGCTATAAACATAAATATATATATATATATATATGTGCGTGCATGAGAAGCCCTGTGTTGCATGCGTGCATGCACTCAGTGTTGTACATTTACTCGGCGATTGGATGGCCGTCTTGGGGAATGTTGGGCGTCGCTACTTCTGTCTTTTCCTGGCCTTTGCTTTATTTCGTTATTCTCTTCTGGATCGGAGTCGGTGAGACGCCTTCTTCTTTTGAATGCATGCATGCATGCATGCATGCATTTGGTATACTTTCTTAGACAAGTTCTTCTGTAAAATATCCCCAATGCATGCATGCATGCATGTATTGGGGATATTTTACAGCTTTGGGGCTTTAAGTGCATTTCATGCAAAGGTTATACTTAATAGGTTTATGAGGCTTCAGTTGCATGCATGCATCCACATGTGCATGCATGCCTGGGGCTTGTATTGCATGCATGCATTTTGTTGTTTGTGTGTTTTTTCTTTCTTAGGGGTTATGCTGCAGGTTTTGCTAGCGGGTTTCAAGGCGTCTCTCTTCCATAACATTGCGTTAGTCTTATTCTTTTTGTTGTTTATTTTCTTTTTCTTTTGTCTGTCTGTTTGTTTGTTTGTTTGTTTTGCTGTTTGTCTTCTGAATTTGTTTGTTTGTCTTTTACTATTTTTAATTGGGGCAGCTTATTCTGTCTCTTTCTCGTTAACTTTACTTCCTGCATTCCTTGTTCTCCTTCTATATACATATATATATATATATTATTTGTATATATAAATATATATTTGCTTCTTGCTATTTGTTTGTTTGTTTGTTTGTTATGTGTGTTTGTTTTTGGTTGGCTTGCGGTGTATATGTGTCTCCTTTTGTCTCCTCGTTTTTGCTGATGTGCATACTTTTCTTGCCTTTCTTCATTTTCTTTCTTTTCTTCTCCTTCCTCCTATCATTCATCTTATTATTACTATTATTATTGCTATTACTTTATTTATTTATTTATTTATTTATTTATTGCTGCAGCATTACAATAAAGCACTGGCTAGCGCAGCGGCAGGCTGAACATGATAGAAGAAGAAAAGTAACAGGGCTCATCTTTGGAGAGCCCCGTCTTCGTCTTCTTCCAGGTAATTTCTTTGTCTTCTCTTTGTTTGTTTATTTGTCTGCTTGGTTGGTCTTAATTATTTTGCTTTAATGGTTTAGGGTTTAGGGTTTAGCTCCGTGCGTGTTTGTTTGATTCCTTCTTTCTTTCGTTCTTTCTTTCTTTGTTTCTTTCTTTATTGCTCTCGGCCTGTGCATATATATATATATATATGTTGTATTATACTTATATATGTATATATTATATACATATGTAGATATATATATATATATATTGCCCTCCTCTGTCTTTTCTCCTTTTCTATCTGTGTCCCTTCTTTTTTTGTTTATCTCTCTTCCTTGCCTTGTTTGTTTCTTTCTTTTTTTGTTTGAGTATCCATATTAATAATTGCAGTGAGGCCCCCGTCATTAAAAAGACAAAGAAGAAGAAATGATGTTTAAGATATATTATCTTTTTGTTTATTTGTATAAACCCTTCAGAAAGGAGATCTTAACTTTTCTGTATGTATATGTTTGCATACTATATATATAAGTATAAATATATATATATATATATATATATAT